GAAAAACCTGAAAATTTTCACAAAAAAATGCTCACTCTAGTTGCATCTCGCATTTTAAAATCGAGTCTAGTTGCATCATGTAGGATTGCATCAATGCAAGGAGCAATGATAGGTTTTTCCTAGAGAGTAAATCGCTTGAGAACTTAAATTAAATATGCTTGTGAAATTCATTCTGTGCTTGCAAAGTCTGAAACGATTTGAATCTGAGAAGCAAGTTTAAATTGATCTCAACTCTAATTAAAGTGAGAACCCTGAACTTGACATCTAATTATCATGTTTGTGCATATCATTGTGAACTCATGGTTTCCACATACATATTTGAGCTTTCTTATCCCTTTTTATCACTCTCGCTAGCTCAAATAGCTGATCTCTCATCTTGAGACAGTTCCATGCCTTTAACCTAACCTTTCTTTGAAGCCTAAACACCCTTCTTGTGTGCATGATTTGTGAGGCCTTGTTTCTAGTAGACTTGGTAAAAAGTGTTGGGTTTAGAGCGACAAAGATAGCTCTGCATGTAGACACTGGTCCATCATCAAGGGCCAGTCTAGGCTACTGTGAAAGTAAAGCATCGGTTTTGAGTGAGCGAGCTGAAAAGAAAAGAAATTGAGTGATGAAAGTGGAAAGAACCGGATTGGATAGGGGAACGAGTGCTAAGATGAAAGAAAGCGAGTATATGCTAAAAAGAAAAGCTCATGTGTTAAAGTAAAAAGAGCCTCATGGAAAAGAAAAGAAAAGATTCAAAAGAGGCATGTCTTAAGAAGAGCTTGTGTGTTAAAGAAAAGAAACTCGCTAAGTTGTTAAAAGAAGCATTCCCCTATGATGAAATGAGGAGAGTAACGAGAGCTCATTGAGAGTCAAAGGCAAAATGCCATTTGGGGGTGAGTAGACTAGGGAGAAAGCCTTGTGAGGTTCAATGCCGAGTGTGAAAAGCATTTTGGGTATGGGGTAGATGCAGTTCTATCTTTGTATGCATCCGTTGCTTTTTACCCTTAGCATTTTACTAAAGTCTACTAATTTTTGAGTGATCCCCTTGCATGGAGTACCAGTTACTTGATTGAGATCATTTTTATCTCAAAACCCAGTCCCAAGCCGAATGAATTCATCTTGATTTGCATGAACATGATCCACCGGTTACAAGCTTAACGAATGTGAAAGAGTTGAGAGAGAAGAGAACTTGTGGAGATTCCTTGTTTTAGATGATATATATCTGAGTATGGCTTTGCATTGCATATTTGAGCATGAACTTGAGTTCTCATTGTGATCACTTCTCTCTAAAAAGGAAATATGAGCTCCCATTGCATTACAACCTCTTTCTCTCATTTGTTCTTTTTGCTTGAGGACAAGCAAAGGACAAGTGTGGGGGAGTTGATATGTCTATATTTTGCATCATTTAGGCTGCATTTTAGAGTCCATATGATGTGTTTTCTCATGTATATTGAGTCTTTAGGCATCAAAATAGGTTTTAGGACTTGCATTAGGTTCCAAAGAGTCTTGCATGTTTTGAAGTCTTTATCAGGTGCTTTGGAGGCTATTTGGAGCTCAAGAGGAGGATCAGGAATGAAAGCGGTGAAGAAAAGGGTCAAAAATGGTGAAAACCGCTTGGAAGAATTTCTCGGCCAAAATTTGTACCGGCTGGATGAAAACCTCGGCCAAAATCATTACCGAACGGTCGTTATTGGCTAAAAATAAGTATTGGGTGAAAATCCCATCGGGTGAAGTTTTACGCCAAGGCGAGAAGATTTATCAGCTAAAAAGCTTACCGCGGTACATGATTCTCGGACATTTTCCTTACCGCGGGAAGCATTTCTCGGCCAAAATCTATTTTCACCCGCGCACTTCAAAGATCACCAATCCGGGGAATCTTCCAGTCCGAACCAGTTGACGGGGTCTTCATCAAAGTTGGAGATAATCAAGCCAAGATCTTAGAACAGTTGGAATCATGCAATTCGGACCAGTGAGAAGAGAGATATCGCCTCCGGAAAACATGCCTGTCTCGCATGCACCCGAACGCCGATCAGCTGAGCTTCAAAGATTACGTGGGACGGAACCCTTCCGATTCAAACCAGTTTACAGAGCCTTCATCAATATTCAAGCTCTATGAATGTTCCTTCCGGAACGCTTGAAGTCACTCACTTCGGAGCGGTAGTTTGGAAGATACCCTCTCCGGAGTACACATCGGTCCAAAAGCTGTACTTTCTGGTCATTCCAATACGGTGCAAAGATGAGCAATCCAGGAAGCCTTCCACCTCCCAAGCTCCAATGGTTTCTTCACAAAAGTTTAAGCTGAATGAGTCATCTTGACTATGGAACTGGTCTCAAAGCATTTGGAGTCGTGTGCTGAAAGTTATTGCTTCCGGAAGAAAAGCGGGTCGATACGAGCCCAACTGAGTTGCGATACGCGCTAAGTATTCTCTCGAGCCTCGACATCGCTACCTCGACACTGCTCAGGCCAAGGCTCATCTCTTGAGAGCATTTTGGGCTGGACCTCGTACTGATCCCTCGGTATGTTGAAAATCAAGGTATGCTTGCAAGAGAAGTAAAGTTGAAAACGACTAAGTGTTGAACATGCACCTCGGGACAAAGACCTCAGCATTGCATGCCGGACTCCGTCTTCCTGAACCTCTCGACTACCAAGCTCCTCGGCATTACATGGCGAGGTCCCTTGTCACAACTCCAGAATCAAGAACAAGGTGACTTAAGAGTACACACGTGAAGATGGATCAAAGACTAGGGTTCATGCATGTTCTTGACGTGTTCTTCACGAGATCTCCATCTGAATCTTTGTTCACGTGCACCTCTCGCCATCAAGGCCTCGGCTTCACACTCCAACACACCGTGGTGCTCACCCAACAACCCAAGAAGGCGGCTCAGTATCCGGTTTGTTCCGGGCTGACCCGCAACACTTTCCCTTCACTATAAATAGATTTTAGGACGAAAAACCTAATCATCTTATCTTTTATCATCTTTAGCTTTAAGAACTTGCCTCTTTTGTGAAACTTGATTAATCTAATCCGATATCTCGTTTTTGCATCAGAATCTTGTTCTTGTTTTATTTCTTTTCTTCTCCAGCATTATACTCCTTATCATGACTAGCTACACGTCTTGCAAAGGACTTAGTGAGCTCGTTATGATCAGTGAGTAGTCGTTTAAGCGGCTTTAGATAGGTAGATTAGGGTGCTTTCATGATAGATTAGTGAGTTTAGGGGTCTAGTCTTGCACGTTTCATTCTTTAACCGACGAGATCTCTAAGCTGGATCCAAGCACATCACTTGAGGTTCAGATCTGAGTCATATCTCGCATCAAAAGTGTTTGTAGAAATGTCTGAACCACTCGGTTAAGGGTTTAAGAGTCTTTCATCGCGAGAGTGATAGTTTGTTCTCTTAAATGACTTATTGAACTGAATCTTAAAGCTGGCTGATTCATGCTTCTCAAAAGGGATTTTGGTATGAAAGAGGATCAGTTTAGATGTTTAATGCTTTCATGAGAAGATGAACATACTTTGAGTTCATGTTAAATGAAACCGCTTGATAAATCTGATTCATTAACTTACTAGTCTAGCTTGGAAGCACCCGAGTCACATATCCTGTCTAAAGCCTCTGCCTTTATCATATATCATCATCATCCGAATCATTTGCTTATTTACTATTGATCACTTGCATCTTCAGCTAGTTTAAATCTCATCTTTTGCTTCATTTTCATGTTTACTTGCTTGTTAAGTAGATTAGCAAAAAACCTTTACCTGTTCTTCTTGACTTAAGACCACAAGTAACATAGACTAGTGTCTCACACGCAAGTTTGGATTGATAACCCCTTGTACTACAAGATGGGGGATTGATAACCTCTACAAAGAGCCTCAAAAACTCTTAGTTATCAACTAGTCAACATAAGGTTATTTTTGCAATTGACTTCTTAAAAGTAGAATTCGTTAAACTTCACGAGAAGTTTACTCGACATCCTTTGAAACAAAAAAAAACCTAGTAGACTTCGTTTATAGGCTTAAGAAGTCTACTAAAGAAAAGAAGTTATTTTTGTAGTTGACCGTATTTTGACTTTTGAATATAGACTTCCGTATGAAGTCTACTGTTTACGTCTGCAGAAGAAGTCTACGTTAAAGTTACTTTTGTAGTTTGACCAAAAACGTATAGGTCATTTTTGTGTTTGACTACGGTTTTTTAAAAAATAAAAAATATTCCGAAAAACTTCAGTAGACTTCTCGAAGAAGTCTAAAAACTGTAGACTTCTTTGGGAAGTCTACTTATATTTTTCGGTCAAACTTAGAAGGAATCTTTTTTTGAGTAGACTTCATTGTGAAGTCTACTAAAAAAATTCAATTGCAAAAATAACCTAATTTTTTATGTAGTCTTCTATTAAAAAAGTAGACTTTAAAAGTAGACTGTCAGAGAAGTCTACTCTTACATGAAGTCTACAATAGAAGTCTACTTTGTTAGTCAATGCATCGGTCAAATGCTAAAGTAACCTTTTTGGCCGGAAGTCTACTTCTGAAGTCTACTGAAGGAAAAGTCAACGGATTGGTCAATTGCAAAAATGACCTGTATTTTAGTAGACTTGTTTAGTAGACTTCTCTATGAAAAAATAGACTTCTCCTCCAGTCTACATTTGAAGTCTGCTGTAGAAGTCTACTTTTTGGCGTTTTTTTAAAAACGCGTTTTAGCCAAATTTATAAAGTATTTTTTAAATTTTCTGGATTATAATTGATTTTTAGTAAGTGATGAACTACCCAGTGAAATTCATTTCATTTCATTCGACATTTATTGTTGAATCAGAAGTTTCGATTTTTAAGCTACTTAGCTTATCAAAGTAGACTTCGTCGTGTAGTCTACTAATGTTCTTTTCGGGAGAAGTCTACTCTTGATACAAAAGTCTTTATGCAGTGTTTGCTAATATGGTTTATCTGGTTTTTTTTTTCAGAGAATGGCTCAAATTCTTGTTGTGTACGGGGAATGGAAGATTGAGGAGAATTCATGACATTTTGTGGTGACATGGCCAAAGGTGGAAGAATGTGGTTTTTGAACGATGGTTGCACCTTGGGGGAGCTTACTGAGATGGCGCGAGATGATTATAACTTGGGCAAGAAGACTGAGCTCATCGAGTTAACCTACTCACCACCAGACTCAATGTTGCAAACTATGGCTCCAGATACACCTCCAATGCATGTCACCAATGATAGACAAGTTTCAAGCTTGATTGCGTTAAGCAGAGTGCATATGGTACGTGAGATGGATACTTAGGAGAACCAGGAAGGATTAGATGAAGAGTTAGGTGAGGAGTCTGAGGAAAATTCAGAACATTCTACCGATGATGAGGCAGGTATTTCTGATGTGAACGAGGATGGAGAAGATGTTGACGATGCAGCTTACTCTGACGGAGAAGATTACAGTGTCTACGGTAAAGTGAAAGATGATGATGAAGATTAAGATGAAGAGTACACTCCGCAATCACCACTCTGAATATTTTGAGGTATCTCCGTACCTGGTACTCGTGAATGGGTGAACGGCGTGTAGGGGAACCTCCACTTGTCATCGTCAGGTGCACATGTCTGAAGAAGGTAGGGTATCATAACAGCAAGAGGCTCCACAGCTTCGTCAATTTGGGCGTCAGATGCATATTTGGTTCTCGCATGACTATCCTATATCGTGATATGCCTCGTCACAAATGAAACCCATATTGCTACCCAATGGTCCTCCCTGATGTGCAACATGGAGTACAAATAGTCGACATCATATGCCCACGTCTTCTTAGTTTGGCAGTAGATAGGTAATTCGCCAGTGTAGTACGAATACGCTCGAGGCGGTAGAAGTTTGCCAGACCCATCTGCATTCGGCTCAGAGTTTTTGAAGTCATTGTAGTCACGCCTCCTAACAGTAGCGAACATGGAGTTGAGGAAGCAAATCCGGTCGGATACAAACCACTCCGGATGCTTGGATAATCGCAGCCTGAATACGTTATGTAAGCTTCCATGTGCTGCACATTGATGAAAATAAGACATGAGTGAAGTCTACAAACGAAGTCTAATGTCTGCAAACGAAGTCTACTATATAAGTCTACATAATATGTCTACGTATGAAGTCTAAACATGAAGTCTAATATGAGAAAGTAAAATACTAACCGTATCAGCTAGCCATTTCGTCGGTGTCCGGAGAATGTAATACCAGTCGATCGAAGAGTTTTTTGGGCGTCTTGGCCAGGCACTGTATAAGTGAAAAAGTGAGACAGGAAATAATACTACGAGGAAGTCTACTTACATACGTATATAAGTCTACTTACAGGTTTGATTTCAGAAAGTTCATTAGAGTGGTATGCTTCGCCTTGACACCGGTTTTATCGAAAGGATCATATCCACGGACACGGCCGGAGTGAGATGCCGACGATGGAATGATGGACTTTGCGGTGCTGTTTCCTAAGAACGGACTCTTCTGTGTCGCAGCCAGCTGTCGGTGTCTGGCACTCGTTGCTCGAGCAACTAACTGAGCCGCTGCTCTGGCTTTGGCATTTTTGGCTAGTGCAACCGCGTCGAAGTCAACATCACACGTCTTCGGGTCAATTTCACAAAAACTAGGCTCTGGGGCCTCTTCTTCCTTCATGGCAGCCTTCTTTTCTTTTGCATCCCCGGGGGCGTTAACACTCTCACACGCACCAATGTTGACATTATCTTTCATCGGAGCATCATCTTTATCTGAATTACTCTGCAGTTTATTGTCACAAACAAGCATGAATATACAAATGAATACACCAATGCTATAATTTAGTAACATGTTTCATCATAGTCTGAAAATTATAAACAACTAGTTTTTAAAACATAAGTAAATAATCTCACATGGTACATAACAGTAGTAAACATGTTCGAATTCAAATGACATTAGTATTAACTGTTTCTAACTTTGTGTGATCTTGTTTGCATGTAATTTTTTCGTATAGGCGGAGGGTTTTTGGTACTAACCCCTTCATGCTTCTTGGATCCAGTGCCGTCCTGCTGCTGGGTTGGCTCTACATTGTCTTTAACCTCTTCCTCAGTGTGCTTCGCCGACCCTGTAGTGAACTCCTCTACCGCGCGCTCTACAGATTCAACCTTCACGGTGAGAAGTTTGATCTGCTTTTCACAGCTACCAAGACCATTCAGCATCTTGGTTGAAAAGCTTTTGAAGCATTGGTCGAAGTGCGCTTTCATAGTAGCGACAACTCCGACCCCTTCATCACCAACGAATGAGGCGGCAGAGGCAGATGCTGTGCAGGGTCTCTTGCGACTTGATTCATCTGAGGGAAGGCTCCTCTTTCCGGCTTCTGCCTTGACGATGTGTGCACCCAAAACACCTTCCAAAGGCCAATGGTTTTTTGAGAACTTGAAATGGGGGTCATGGATTGCATTGACAATCTTGACAATATCTGGATCCTGTTTGTCATCATCCCACACGGGAAACATATCCGCCAAGTCCTTAGCCACACAGCACTGTATGCGAGCCGGGAAAAACACAATAAGTAAATGAATTACTAGCCATATGAAGCCCCGAAAAACTACTTATGAAGTCTACTCCTAAAGTCTACCATAGAAGTCTACTCTTGAAGTCAACACATGAAGTCTACTTTGAAAATTCATTACTACATAGAAGTCTACTACACTAATACAGTACCTGTTTTAGCATGTTGGCTTTGACGTTCTTTCGTCCTCTTGATCCTTTGTAAGCCAGCAGAAGAGGTTGAATATCATTTGGCAATGGTTCGCCAAATTCAGCAGCAAAATCCAGCAGAGCATAGTACACCCACACTTGAAGAGCTTGCACAAATCCTTCTATATGAATGTTTTTGCTGAAATCTTTCTCCTTAACAGACTTGATCAAATGCTGAAAAGTATTTCTTCCCCATGGAAACTCCTTAAAACCTTCGAGATCCATCACTAGTCTGGCATGGTTGACATTTGTGGATAAGCCAGGTCTCGTTGCCACTATGAAACCAGCGTAGATCCCAAGTTAACCCAACCGCAGCCTATCATCCCGAGACCATGATGAGCAGTTGGAACAGGCTTCAATAATTTCGATAGTGCTTGGGCCCGACTCGGCATCGACCCCCATTAGCTCCCAAAATGCACGCGTGTCATCGGAAAGCGCAAGACTAGTTAAAGCCAAGTCATCCACGTACCCGCAGTTGAGTCCGGTGATCTCCTCAAACTCATGCAATGAAAACCGAACTGGAGTGCTACCAATCAGGCTCCATATCTCGTACCTCTGCTCAAACTATCTGAAAGGTCAGCATGTGGTGCACCAGCCTAGAAGCCCAACCAAAATCCAAGTCGTGGAACTTTAAAAAGACACCCAACGGTGACTCGTAAATCTCTTCCCATTCATCCTCTTGTAGAGCGGACTTTAGTGCAGGTACCAGCCTATAATCATCAGAATAATAGCCGATGCTTTTATCCGGGGCTGGCTCAAACCCTTTGGTGTACAGTCTTCTAGGGAATTCAGAGGCCACCATTATCTAAAACAGATTTCTGCATCAACGGTAACAAAGCTCTAATGAGAAACACTAGTACGGTTTGAAACTATACACGAATGAAGTCTACTTTTTACGAATGAAGTCTACTTTTTCAAAATGAAGTCTACTTTTTCAAAATGATGTCTACTTTTTCAAAATGAAGTCTACTTTTTCAAAATGAAGTATACTTTTTCAAAATGTAGTCTACTTTCACATTCTAAGTACAATCCGAGTCGAGAAGTCTACTGAAGCCAACCGAAGCAATCTTAACATAAAAAAACAGTATATTAAGTCAACGGAATCCACATGAAGCTATCAAAACATCATAAATACTGCATATGCAGTCTACTGAACCCAACCGGAGCAATCAATACATGATAAATACTGTATATGAAGTCTACTAAAACAAATCATCCAAATGGAATCTACAAAGTTTATAGTGTTTACCGCCGTTATTAGATGAAGCTGGCATCGAGAAAAGGCAACCAGATCTGGGAAAAAAAACCCGACGGACATATGTAACTCAAACCTGACGGACAAAATTACAGGAAGATAGAAGAAATATAAGAATTGCTAAGTATATAACTACGGAACAATATCTACTAACCGTTTTGAGGCAGGAAATGACGTTAACCTCCAACGGCGAAAGCAGATCTGCAAAAAAAAAAACCCTAATTTCAGATCTGGAAACTGGTGGTTACGAAAACGGAAAGGTGATGAATACGGAGGAGTAGAGACGCATGGGGGTGTGGTTGGAGAAAGAAAACTTGCCTGAACGAGTTTATCGGCGGCGGTTCTGTATGTCGGCGGTGCCGGAGCAGAGAAACAGAAATCGCCTTCGACTTTTTTTTTTTTACACGAACTTTCGACGGTTTTTTTTTTTAACGGGATCTGTAAAATTCGTATATATAGTCTGGTAATTCCGTACGGTTCGGGTAAGTTTTTTTCGGTTAGGGTTACTAATTTTACGGGGTCTAGGTAAATTTACCCGATTACAGGCAGTTTTTCTTGGTTAAGGGAAGTTATTCCCGATTTAATTTCGGTTAAAATTTTGGTTAGGTTATTTTATTCGGTTTAGTAGACTTCAATATAGAAGTCTACAATTTTTAAAACCTAAATAATAAATTTACTTCTACTTAATTTAAAAACATACATATCCATTTAGCAATATCAATAAATAATTTCTGTACATTTGGGTTACGATTACGAAATTTATGAATGTAAATTTGATACCAAAATAATTTTTTAAAATTTTTTAAATTAAATTTACAGATTTAATTACTTAGTAGACTTCATTTCGATAAAATGAAGTCTACTATTAGACTTCTTTTTCCCTTTAGTAGACTTCGTCAGGGTGTAAACGGTAATTAGGACTTCCGTTTTTTGTTTACTCATACAAGATTAAATGGTCTTTTCACTACCCCTTTAGGTTATTTCTGCCAAATGTTTTTTCAGGGATCTACTTTTGTATTTAAAGTCAAGTTTTGGGTTATTTTTAGCAAAAACCCCATAATAATTTTCTTTTGGTAGAAATGTTACACGTGAATCTAAAGAATAAGTGGAATGTTCTAATCAATATAGTATTTTTTTAAACAAATAGATATCTAGGATCAAAACACAGGACAAATATTTTTTAAACAATTCTCCTTGACTGTATAATTCTGAAAAAAAAATCATAATTATATAAGGTAGACGATTATATGTTTCCATATTTTAGTGATTAATTTATACAATCAAAGCGGATATCTCAAAACTAAATAATTTATATTGGCCTTTTTGTTAGAATTGATGGTATATCCACTTGTAAAAATATCATGTAGTTACAATGAAACTCTAGATGGGGAGGAGCATTCAGAGTTCATTAATTCACCAAGTATCTCTGCGGGAATGAGAGATTTCAAAGAGATAGCTAGCTACTGCTCGCTGACAGATCTTAGCTATCACGGTCCAT